AGGGTAATAAGAAGGAGGAGGAGTAGGAGGAGGAGAAGAAGCAGAAAATGGGGTTAAAAAAAAAGATAAATAAAAAGAAAAGTGAAAGCTCATTAGAAAAATAAAAACGATGAGAAATAAGGGACAGAACGTGAGAGTGTGTGTGTGTGTGTGTGTGAGAGAGAGAGAGAGAGAGAGAGAGAGAGAGAGAGAGAGAGAGAGAGAGAGAGAGAGAGAGTCAGAAAAAACCATTCTGAAAATTTGCGTTTTTAAATCACATAAACAGTATTTCTCAAGTTTCAGTAACAGAAATAACACCAGCAGCAAAAACAAAAACACTGACATACAGAAATATAGTTTGACTAGATAAACATTAATCGTAGAAAAAATAACAGTCTCATCAACATTAGATATTTTTACATCCATAGAACAATCAAAATATTCTATTTTAAATGAAAAAGATATTCTTGAGAGCTAAAAACCGAAGTGTTGGAAAACCAGACTGCCTTGTTTAGTTTACAAGGCGTTGTAAATATTTTGGTTTTCCTTTTGAATACTTCTCATGATCGTGTGCAATGCTTGCATAGAGAGCCCCACATGACAACACTTGAGTTTCAAACAAACAGAAAAGGCGATGCCATGTTTAGTCTGTTGTTACGCCTATGACAGATTCTTAATGAGGCGTTATTTTGATTGAGTGATTGAACAGCGGACGTGTTCTATTTCTGCCGGCGGCGTGTCCATTTTTTTATGCTCAGATAGTATTTGTGTGGTGGAAATCGTGTTTCTCTTAATTGTGGAGCCCCATTTCTGTCTTTAAAAAAAAAAAAATAGAAAAGTCAATAGATGCTGTCAGGGAAAAATAAAACAAGGAGTAAATATTTGATGGCTGACACAGGGTCAAGAAAGGTGTCTTGTTTTTTTTTAACAGGAGGCGATAGGCTGAAAAGAAAGAAGGTCACAGTACGGTTTGGCATCGCTGAGTAAGTAAAACTTGTTTTTAATTTTAACACTGTCAGCCTCAAAAGATCAGCCACAAGAGCAAGAGGACGGCCAGAAAAGCATAGAGCGACAACATTAAAGACGACCAACACCTTCATGTAAAACTAAGGTAAAGGTCACTTTTCCACGCCTTTAGGCGAATTGGGAATATAGTGCTAGGCTTACATTTTATAGACTAATCGGAACTTAGTGGGTGATGTGGTCAGCATCACGCCGGCCACCTTTACTTCCCGGACTGCACCTGGTACCCACTCAAAGCTGGGTCGACCTGGGAGTCAAGGTAATTTTTGGAAGAAAAAAAAGTACTGCTCCGTCAGGACGCGAACCTACTACCTTCCGATCCGCAGGCGGGTGTTCAGCCGTCAACCCCACGGTTGCATTCTAAAGCACATTAAAATAAATACAAATACATTTCATTACGTTTCTCCACCGTTTAACTTCTTCTTTACTTGCTTCTCTCTGCCAGTAGTTTTCAGATGAGAAGGTCGCCGCTGTCTTGAGACTATGGGGTGACGCGTGTCCCGCACTGACTCATGCAGCTTGGTGGCAACAGGAATACCAACCTAGCCAGACCTGAAATCTCTCTACCGCTCCTTCTTCTTAAAGTCCATACCGTGTGGCATTGGTAGTGATGTCTATCCACAACCTTCTGTCTCGTGTACATTCAATCAATTCTGACACAGATGATCTTCCATAGTCCATGCCGTGTGGCGTTGGTAGTCATGTCATCCACAACCTTCTGTCTCGTGTACTTTCATCAACTCTGACACAGATGACCTTCCATAGTCCTTGCTGTGTGGCGTTGGTAGTCATGTCATCCACAACCTTCAGTCTCGTGTACTTTCAATCAATTCTGACACAGATGATCTTCCATAGTCCATGCCGTGTGGCGTCGGTAGTCATGTCTATCCACAACCTTCTGTCTCGTGCACTTCCAATCTACTCAGATACTGATGATACCATGATGCTGTCAGACTGTCCAGCATCTTTTCTCTTGGTCTCCAACTGCCTCTCCTCCACTCTAACTTTCCTACGGTCACGATGTACTCGTTTTCTCCTTTGCGGCACATGACCAAAGAATTTAGATTGTCTCTTTCTGATGTGGGCAATCAGTTCTATTTGTGAGGCAGTTTTTTTTTTTTTCAAGGCATTCTTATTACTTTTTTTTTTATCTGTCCGGTATATTATCGTTATTCGTCTATAAAAACCACATCTCTGCAGCTTCCAAATAAATTTTCACGAATTTACTAACTGTCCATTATTCACTGACAAAGAAAGATTGCATAAAATATTCTTGGGAGGAGGTGGACTAACACCCAGAACTTTCCGCCGAAGTTTACCGCTGATGAATGCGAAAAAGAAGAAGGTTTTCATCGTTTCTTGTTGCTGAATTTAAGTTAGTAGAAAAGACGAATGACATTATATTATGACTCATTTCTGCACAGCAAATTATAAATCAGATATGAGGTGGCCGGCTATCTTCCTTGTCGCTAGTTGCTGTAGCAGTTCTGAGTAGAGATTACGACTCCGTGCCATAGAAGCGATTCCGTTACGCTGTCTGCAAAGCAAAAATAAACGGGCGCGCAAACTCTGGCGAGTTTTTGTTGCGTAATCATTCTTTGACATGTGTATCCTGTTAGCACAATGCTTCTCAAACCATTGGGTTTTCTTGGTTGCTTTAATTTGTTGTTGTTGCTGTTGTTGTTGTTGTTGTTTTTCTTTTGCTTCTTCTTCTTCCGCACAACTGACATAGAAAGAGTGCTTCGTAGCAGGCATGTAAATCAAGCGGTCTGCGGGCCGCATGCAGCCCGTTGCAAAAAAAAAATGAGCAATAATTTTTGTTAAGTGACTTTAGTTAGTTGTATGTGGCCTTTATTACAAACACAAATGTGGCTCATAGGGCCCGGCAGTTTGACCTGCTTGCCTTAGAGAGAGAGAGAGAGAGAGAGAGAGAGAGAGAGAGAGAGAGAGACAGACAGACAGACAGACAGAGAGAGAGAGATACAGAGAGAGAGAGAGAGAGAGAGAGAGAGAGACAGAAAGAGACAGAGAGAATCCCGCACAGTATTACATGATAGTATAACCCTGCAAATCTTCTAGGAGTTTTAAAGATCTGGATGGAATCCAACGTTGGAGGTTAAACCAAGGCCACATACACTCACTTAGTTCTTTCTTTCCTTCTGCCCTTTATTCTTCCAATGGAGCATGGGCCCTCGACCACTATACCCCAAGTCGTCTTATCTCGCATGCGGCTCGAAGAAGAAGAAAAACAAAAGACAGATATGCTGCAGGTTGCCGCGCATGTTGTTAACCACTGATGTAAGAGGTCGAGAAGGGTCAGATTCAGCTTCGTTTATTTCACGTGTAACTGGGAAAGTGGGCGGTGAGGCGTGACGTATCGTGGTACAAGAGATAACACTATGAAACAAGGACGTCAGAACTGAAACTTGGAGATAAACATCCAGGCTTTGTGGACATAGAAGAAATATACAAAAGGAGAAACAGATAGACGGTGGATCGAAAGGAAAATAGGCAGTCAGATAGTTTCGTGTCAAGATGCAAGGACACGACTTTGCGTTTGCTACACTTCAAAACTTGAACATATGTTGGCGAAGTCTGTTCTTCTGCCTTGTCCTTAGTAACTTCAAAAAATGATGGCGAATAATGTTCTACCTGTTCCTTAGTAACTTAACATATGTTGGCGAAGTGTGTTCTGCCTTGTCCTTAGTAACTTAACATACGTTGGCGAAGTCTGTTCTGTCTTGTCCTTAGTAACTTAACATATGTTGGCGAAGTCTGTTCTGTCTTGTCCTTAGTAACTTAACATACGTTGGCGAAGTCTGTTCTGCCTTGTCCTTAGTAACTTAACATATGTTGGCGAAGTGTGTTCTGCCTTGTCCTTAGTAACTTAACATATGTTGGCGAAGTCTGTTCTGCCTTGTCCTTAGTAACTTAACATATGTTGCGAAGTCTGTTCTGCCTTGTCCTTAGTAACTTAACATATGTTGGCGAAGTATGTTCTGCCTTGTCCTTAGTAACTTAACATATGTTGGCGAAGTCTGTTCTGCCTTTTCCTTAGTAACTTAACATTTGTTGGCGAAGTCCGTTCTGTCTTGTCCTTAGTAACTTAACATATGTTGGCGAAGTCTGTTCTGCCTTTTCCTTAGTAACTTAACATATGTTGGCGAAGTCCGTTCTGTCTTGTCCTTAGTAACTTAACATATGTTGCGAAGTCTGTTCTGCCTTGTCCTTAGTAACTTAACATATGTTGGCGAAGTATGTTCTGCCTTGTCCTTAGTAACTTAACATATGTTGGCGAAGTCTGTTCTGCCTTTTCCTTAGTAACTTAACATATGTTGCGAAGTCTGTTCTGCCTTGTCCTTAGTAACTTAACATATGTTGGCGAAGTATGTTCTGCCTTGTCCTTAGTAACTTAACATATGTTGGCGAAGTCTGTTCTGCCTTTTCCTTAGTAACTTAACATTTGTTGGCGAAGTCCGTTCTGTCTTGTCCTTAGTAACTTAACATATGTTGGCGAAGTCTGTTCTGCCTTTTCCTTAGTAACTTAACATATGTTGGCGAAGTCCGTTCTGTCTTGTCCTTAGTAACTTAACATATGTTGCGAAGTCTGTTCTGCCTTGTCCTTAGTATGAATATGACACACGGTCTACTCTAGAAACGCGACAAATCGAGTCTTGGAGAGAGAACTCTATGAGGGTATCCAGACACCTTTCCTAATCTGAATGCTCCACCAAACAAAATATGTTTGCGAGAGTCCAGTGAAGACTATGGATCTGCAACCATGACCAGACAGCAAAAACAGCTAGTTACGCTGTGTCATCGGTCGTTTTCTGCTTTAGGATTTACCGACGAGAGCGTTCGTGCACTTATGGGCTGAATGGTTCCATGTGCTTTGGCTATAATCACTTGACTAACTGCCTTAACTAACTGACTGACTGAGTGATCGACTGACTGACTGACTGAGTCACTATCTAACACTGTTCGGTAAATAGTCTTACCTTCTCGAACATTCACTATATGTTCGTGTCTGAGGCTGGAGAGGATCTGAATCTCCCGACGAATCCTGGTCTGATCCATCTCATCTTGGATCTTCGTCTTCTTGATATACTTCAGGGCAACCTGGCAGGAACGGATAAAAGCAACGGGCATGAGTTTATTCACTGTAGGATAAATTCCTCGTGTGAGCTTCAGAGTCAAGTTCTGTGGAAGATTTTGTTAAACAAAATCTAGACCCACTACTCCTTTCACAAGCCCTTCGCAAGAGGCGACTTTTTAATGGCCTTACTGAAATCGTAGTTTGACTACTCAAAAGCACATGTATCGCAGCCTAGCCGTAAACCATATTTGTATTCAGAAGCCAAGACACAAGAAGAAGAAGAAGAAGAGGAAGAAGAAGAAGAAGAAGAAGAAGAAGAAGAAGAAGAAGAAGAAGAAGAAGAAGAAGAAGAAGAAGAAGAAAAAGAAGAAGAAGAAGAAGAAGAAGAAGAAGAAGAAGAAGAAGAAGAAGAAGAAGAAGAAGAAGAAGAAGAAGAAGAAAAAGAAGAAGAAGAAGAAGAAAAAAAGAAGAAGATAAAGAAGCATAAGAAGAAGACGAAGAAGAATGAGAAGAAGAAGAACAACAACAACAAAAACAACAACAACAACAAGTAGAAGAAGATGAAGAAAAAGCTACCTTTCAGGCAGCTGCTCACCGACTTAAAAAGAAACACCCCTAATTAGTCTACCTTTACGACATGCTGGTTATGGGCCAGTAAGTCTATTCTCGTTCCTTTACAATAGGGCCCTGGAACAAGCTCTCAAGCAGACTTTGAAGGTAACATCCCTAACTAACTTTTACAGCATGACTGGTAGCGAGCAGTGGGTATTACCCCCCCCCCCCCCCCCCCCCTCCCCCCTTTTCCACACCAGACAATGACGTCCCGAAACCTACACGCGGAGTTCACATAATGGAGCACTGGCATTTGAAGAAAGACACAACCAGTCAGCCAGTGAGACGTTGCATTTCATACATTCTAGTGCAGCCATAGGAGCCGACGTGATGTACTGACTAGAGTCACTAGATGCTCTGACTTAAATGTCGTCCTTCATAAGTGACTTTAACTCTCAGATCGACATCCCGAAACTGGTAGCGGGTATCGACCTGAGAACAGCACAACCCCAGTACATAATTACATTAGTGGTAATTACATTCCAGAAACATTCCAGTGCCACATATCACCCCTAAGCAGTGCGAAAAATAAAATACTAGGGAAAATGTAATTTCCCGAAGCACCCACATCTTTACGTTTATCTATTCTAGTAACACGAGAGGAGAAAATACCAATGCCTGAGTTAAGAAAGCAAAACGGAGGAAACACGGAGAAAGATCTGAACTCAGATACCTTACCGCCAGGCAGGCGCGACATTCTGGGTGGTCTGGTGTCAGTGCTCATAGACCTAGGTGGCTATCAAGGGATTTGTTTGACAGCATAATTGTACTCGTAGTCAGGGATGTCTTTGATGTTTGAGGTCGGGTGGCATTTGAGTTCATCAAGGGCGTACTCTTGGGGGTTTCTTTAATTTATGTCTTGTCATCAGAAGCTATTAGCGGGAGATTTTGAAAGGTGACCGCTCGTGGGAGAAAATAACTTCTAGAAGGTGATAATTACTTCTTAAAAAAAAGTGAAATTTTACTTGTGACATGTCATAGTTGGCTGACTCCAGTTCATCATTTCATGAAAGGGACATAATGCGAAATTTGACAGTATAATTATTATTTGCGAACGATAACAAAATTCCATTTTTAAATACTATATATAATTTCCTTTTCCTTTCCTGACGTGTGTTTGGTTTCGTCATCAATCCGTTCTTTAATTAAAGAACGCGAACGAACAAGCTTTACTTTCAAAGGGCTAGGAATTGGGCACCAGGCCTGTCTACCATGTTGTACTTCCAGACCACTCATTGCCTTCAATGTCTGCGATGTTGAAAGAACAAGATAAGAAGAAAACCAAGATCTGGAGATTTCTCGCTTTCGTGCAAGAATACTTGCCCTCTACAAGAGGATTATTACGTTTGAGCGAAACATGGCCGCCAAGTTAGTGTGAAGAAACAGGCAAACAAAACTAAGATGAGACGTGGCACAAGAAGGCAAACACTTAAGGAAAAACAGAGAGAAAATCCAAAACACACCAGATAATTTTTCCAGAAGGTCAGAAGGGCGAGAGGTCACTCGCTGACCGCATCACTGTTCCGTTGCAGTTTTGTCAGTAAATGTGGCCTACATAACCTGTTCAGTGCCATATACGCCTTTGTTGAGCTCCTTCCATTGGAAAAGTTAACCACATCCCGCGAAAAAATAACAATCTTGCAGCGGCCACTCCATATAAGCAAGAGAAGGAGGAGGAGAAGACAAAGAAGAAGAAGAAGAAGAAGAAGAAGAAGAAGAAAAAGAGAAGAAGAAGAAGAAGAGAAGCAGAAGAAGAAGAAGAGGAGAAATGCAAACGCGCATGGGTGGTTGACAACCTTCACCCTTGAAGGCTATTTCCGGTTGTCTGGCCAAGTGAGTTCGCGGTTATGATCAGGTGCATCCACTTATCCCGTTGGAAACTCTTTCCTCGAAGCTTCGCTTCCATACCGTGATATCTTTCCCATACTCGGTCCCAGGGAGCTACAGTTGGAATCGTTTCTTTTAAAAGAGCGTACAGACTGGGGTGCATTTTAGAAGGAAAAAAAAATCAGAACATTGAAAGAATATCCCTACCCCCCCCCCCCCCCTACCCCCATTTTAATATTTCTATTCTGCAAGCGTCAGTTAATAAGTGCGAATTGATGTCTCAGTTGAAAATACTATGATCAACCAAAAAAGAAAAAATTTAACTAGTTAACTTACCAAGAAAAGACAATAACAAAAGATTAAATGAACATGACAATTATTTTCCTTTATCGGCCTTAAAAAGAAAACGTGGACAATGTCTCAAATGAGCAGCAATGTTACTTTTACCCCGTGCACTCGCCTATTAGCCGTACTGCACATTTGACGATAACCTTATATTTCCAAAAGAAATTCGGCAACCGAAAGGTAATGTTGTCAATATCAAGCTGCTCACTACACTTATCGGGACTTGTCCTGTCTCCTTTATACCCTAAGTTGATCTGGAAGCACATGTTAGTTTAAAAAAAAAAAAAAATTCAGCTCCAAAGATAACTCAGAACTGCAAAAATTGGTACTTTCGTAAAAGTATGGTACTATCCGACCATTGCCGAGCAAAACTGTACTTTTGGTGCCATGTTTTTGTACTTGTTAGAGATTTTGCGTCAATATTTAAATGCTGAATTGTACGCTTGATGATCATCAGTATTACTGAATGAAGACCGAAGTCAGTTATTCAGTTTGACAGCAAATTGCACAGCATTGTTAAATAAAATACATTTTTAACAAATAAACAAAGAATTAGGGAGAAAGGGGGATGGGAGAAAGGGCGATTAAGGGGGGGGGGGGGGGACAACCAATAGCGCACGATAAACCAAATTTGCCGAAAAACAGCAGAACAATTTTAGTTTACAATTTCAAAAGAAAGGATAAGGAGGTGAAAATCGCTTATCATTAGAATCAAAATGTATGCTTAGTCTGTTAGCATTACTTCATTCCTCTGCAGCCGCAAAAAGAGTTTTTCTCTCTGCCTGACAATATTCATCATGTAGCAGGTCCTTTGCAGAACGTCGCTGTCATCAGGGTCTGCTTGAAAGAAACTCGGTCTCTCGCCAGCTCTCCCGCCTCATGCACTTTCATATTCAAGGAGTCACTTATATCCTGTGCCCATCTTTGTGTTGGTCAGCCCCTGCCCCTCCTTCCTGGTACCATGCCTTCTGCTTTATTTTTTTTTCAATATGTCGTGGCGCTTGATATGACCAAAATATTTCAGCTTCCGAGACAGGAGGTTCATCATTAATTAACTGCTAGTGGAGCCCGTACAGCGTTGATAGCATCAGCTTTGTCCATGCATCTTCCACCGTGATGTGGTACAGGAATTGCCAGTTGGTCCGCTCGTTAATTACTGTTTACTCCCGCTAGTAGTGTGCAAGCCACTGCCCTCCGCAGCTCCGAAAGCTAGTTTATTTCTCTTGTTGTGCCGACGAAGCGAGTCAAATGACACGCTACAAGTACAGCCACTATGAACGATCTATCAACGCATCTTTCGGGACAAAATAAAGCTGCCAAGTTCTACAATCAATCACCAAGAAACTTATTTTTGCCAGAAAGTTCGCTGGCAGGTCGCGATGAACCTCGACACACGCCTAATGCACTGTACAGATTAGCTTGCTGTTATCTAAGACTTGAGGTTCTCACGTTGTGCTAGAGAGGCTGGGGATATTCGTGTCTTACGTCAGGCTGCTAGGATGGACCAGAGATTCTCAAACTTATTAGCCTAGGTCCCTCCTCTAGATCTCTTGAAGATAGAAAGAAAAAAAAAAAAACCTTTAACTCTTTGAGTCCAAAGGAACGCATCATACGTTCATAGGTTCCTACCTAGAAGCCAAATGAACGCTGATTTTATGACTCTCTTTACTACCCCCTGGGCCTGTAATGCTAAACATCCTGGGACTCAAAGAGTTAATGCCAGTGGTGCAGTAGGCAAATAGTGCTAGAGCCATATTTTATGGATTAATCCGCACTTGATGGGTGATGCGGTCAGTAACGCACCGGCTTCAGCAAACTCCTAAGTACACGTTTATAAAAAAAATTCTTTTAATGTACCCCAAACAAGTAAATTCTTGCAGTTCCCGGGAGAGTCCAATATTCTAGTGGTGTTATGGGTTGGGGTTAGAGTTAGGGTAAGGGTCTTTGTCAGCTCCTATCGCCTCAGAGAAGCCGACTAACGCTGTAACCCTAAACTGTAACTCTAACTGTAACCCTAACTGTAACCCTAAACTCTAACCCTAACTGTAACCCTAAGCTCTAAACCTAACTTTAACCCTAAACTCTAACCTTAACTGTAACCCTGAACTGTAACTTTAACTGTAACCCTAAACTCTAACGCTAAGTGTGATGCCAATTCTAACATCCTTAGAATATTCAACTTCCTGGGAACTCTAGAAGTGCCTTTGTTTGGTATGAATTAAAAATAAAGTGCCCACAT